TTTTTTTTTTTTTTTTTTTTTTTTTAGCAGAAGCTTTTAAAAAATGTAATCTAGTTAAATATATATAATGTTTTCTATGTGGACATTTAATATGTATTGATAATAAAATCAACATGGATAATGGAATTTTAATAGTCAATGTAAACTTAAGTGCAGATCAGCTAGATTATTTGCAGTCAGATTACATGAAGTATGATTTTTATTTCAGCCCCTTTATGCCCAAAAATATTTATTAAATACAATTTTTTCCCCCTTCAGTTTGTCAATTTTGAACTTTTTGTTTTAAACTCAGACTGAAGAGGTAGATCATTACAGTTAATTTGGGGTGTAATAATACATAGTAATTGGGTTATTTTAAGTTGTTTGCCAAACAAATTCATATGATTTATTAACAAACTGTAGATAAACACTGAAATTTTGTTTATATTGGAAAAAACGAAATTAACAACAAACAAAACCTTTTAAGTGAAGGCTTATTTTACCCATGAAAGAGGAAGGCCAATACTGCTAGCTAGATTTAAAAAACATTGTTTTATGACATTGCATATTCTGGTTGCTGTTAGAAAATCTTACCAAACCACATCTTGTTTTAATGGAGCTCTTTGAATAATTGTGAGGAGTTGAGGGGAAAGAGGATGTCTTGGGAACAGTGTGAGGAAATGCTGCCTCAGACTGAGGACCCCTAGATGGACCAGGATTTGGGCCTCTGAGGAGAGTCTGGGGTAATGGGAGTGGAGTGCTTCAGTGTCTGGCCTGTGTGTTGATCAGGAAGCCCAAGGGCTGCAAGCTGCCCTGATGGAAGGTGAGGAAGGTAACAGTAGCCATTGGATTCTTGGAGGGATGCTGACTCCCATTCTGGATAATAGCTCTGTATGTTGGTGTCATTCCCACCTCTGGTAATGGACTCTCTGACGTAGCCTCTTCAAACATATCTGCTTTTTTGCCCCTGTAGGGCTCTGCCTGTCATGTATGCAGTAGCACTTGACCTTCGAGTATTTGCCAATAATGTAAGTTCAATTTTTATCACTATTGTTTAACAACCCAGACTTGGTATCTGTTGCTTATTTTCATGTCATTCATTTTTTAAAAAAAAAATATCTTTATTGATTTCAGAGAGAGGGAAGGAGCGGGAGAGAGAGAGATAGAAACATCAATGATGAGAGAGTCATTGATTGGCTGCCTCCTGCAACCCGGGCATGTGCCCTGACCGGGAATCGAAGCCCGATCGCCTGGATCCTAGGTCGATGTTCAACCGCTGAGCCATGCCTGGCCGGGCTCATGTCATTCTTTACAGAATTTTTGAGTGGGGGTTGGGATCTATCTGGTGTAGAGAGCAAAAGAACAGGATGTCTTAACTGTTCTTTTTGGGTTGATGTGAACAGATTTAAACAAACATCAGTTTTCATACTGTAGATGTAGAAGGAGTTATTTCTGTATATGGTTAATCATTTATGGCATGTGATGTATTTTTTAAAGGGGATGGAGCAATAATAGATGGGCATTCTCTTCTACTGTTAAGATATGGCCTGTCCCCTGTCTTAAAGAATTCCAACTTAATATAGATCAAGCCAATAGCTAAGGGTTTCTCTGGTATGAGGAGGTAAAGATCCTGGATTTTATGGAGTTCATTTCCCTTTGGGGTCAGCATAAGCCAGTTTTGGAGCAGCATTCCTGAACTTTTCTGTCCTAAGACCCCTTTACAGTTTTAAAAATTATTAATGGCTTTTGACTGGACAAGATGGAGTAGGCACATTGTTCCTATTTCTCATGCTGGGAATTTTAAAGTCAACATGACTCTGAGATGTGAAGAGAAGCAGCGGACAGGGACCTGCAGAACAGTGAGCAGTGAATTTCCTGCATTTCTTTTTTGCCTCCTGTCTGACCTAGCCTGGATCCCAGAGAAACCTGAAACCCGGGAACACCAACAAGCAGAGATGAAGAAGCCCCAAGGAGAGAAGGAAGGGGCAAGGCAGACCATTAAGACAGACCTCTTTGACAGTTCCTGCTGCACTCCACACAGTCTGTAGGTCCCCAACCTCTGTCAGCGAGGCCCGTGGGGAGGCATACCCCCTTCCCACCAGTGCCAAAGAGGTGGAGCCCCTGTTTACTCACTAGCATGGGTCAGCAGAGGCTTATTGAAACGCGATAAATAAGGTCCATAGTCTCGTAAGGTAATAATACCCCAAATGTCCAAGACTCTTATACCAAGAATCAGGAAAATCTTAGCCTTTTGAGATGTCGAATGAGGAGAGACAATCAACAAATACCAACACTGATATGACACAGTGTTGGAACTCCCTGATAAGGATTTTACACCAGCCATCATACAGAAGTCTAAAGGAGCAATTATGAACATTCTCGAAACAAATGAAAATGTAGACAGACTCAGCAAAGAAAGAAGATACAAAGAAGAACCAAATGGAATATTAGAACTGAAATTATAGTCACTTAAAATATGTTTATTTATATTTATTGTATTAGAAATTTTAACTAGGAAAATTTTTAATATTTACTTATTTAAAGTAATAAAACTTTTACATGGTAACATAGTTGACTTTTAAATAAAAAATAACTATTTTCAGAATGAACAAAATGTACTAAGAAGAATGGCATTCTTTTAGTTTAAACTCTAGTGTATGGCTTAACAGAAGCTACCCAGATTCTCATTTCTGCTTCTGCATTTATTCTGTTGCAATATGTTGTTTTGGTTGAGTATATGAAGACAGTCTGGCCTCACACAAATGTAAATGGAATAGGGAGAAGTATTTTAGTAGCCTTTTCAGATAATTATAGATACTCTTCTTTCAGCTTTACCAAAACTCCCAAAGCTGGTTTTTACAGGTTAGTTACGATGTGACCTTTGAAGCTTAGCAGTGAACTTTTTCCACTGTTACATCAGAATCCACTGGTGAGTCATGCACTTTGAATGGATCTTTTACCATTGCATGGTTTTGTAACATACATTAAACATTTGGAAACTTTTTGTTCACTGAGTTCTGCAGATGTTCCCAATGTTGTATATTTCATCATGTGAAAAAACCAAAACCAGAAAAACTCTACATTTGTTAATATCTACAGTGACCTCATCAGAAAAGTCTTGGAAGTAATGGAAAACTTCCAAGTTCACAGTGGTCCATACAAGTTTTCCAAAATTCTTTTTTTTCCTTGAAAGTGCAAATATTGTTATTGGCAACAAATACTGTCAGTTGTTTGCCTGGAAGTGACAGGCTTCTTTCATTCACCTTCAAGCGCACCTGATTTGCCTTGCTTGTCTGTCAGTTGTTCCGTGGTGCAGCTGGCAACTTGAACAGTGCCCAAGTGCTTTCCTTAAAACAACCATCATACTTCATTGTGTGACAGACGTGCTTTGTATGTTATTTCCTGTGTCATCACAAAGAATATTAAAAATTTATTCAAGGACCAAGACTTAATAAAGTTAATATTTATTGCATCATTAAGGACATTTTAAAGTGAAATTAAATTTATTGGTTGACTGATTGATGGATTGTAGATGCATGATGTTAAGGCATCTAGTTTAGTTTGGTGCCCTTGGGAAGGCTCCAGTGGTTTCACCTATTGTTTTTGCACCATCAGGGCAAACAGTGCAAATGTCAATACAATAAAAAGAAATAATGGCTTAGTGTTATCATGAAAATAGTTTGACCATGTGAGTTAATCTGCAGGCATCTTGAAGGCTCTCAGTAATTCATAGGTCATACTTTGAGAACCTGTTATAAGAAGAATATGAGTGGGAAAAAACTGGTTCTTTAATAAAGACTATCCTAAAAGCAAGGAAAAGGGCAAACTTGGTAATGACTTTGATATCTATTGAAAGTGTGTTTCAAGAATTTTGACTAGCTGTGCATAGGAGGTGGAAGGTCAGTGACTGAGGGAACAAAAGGCTTCTAGCAGTGCAGGGCCGCATACAATTCGGCCTTAAAAATTTGGTTGACTTATTAGCTTGAATTGGTTGAAGAGTAATTTGATTTGTGGAAGAGGTAAACTAAGCTATAATTTCTCAATTTAAAAAAATATAGACTAGATTATTTTGACAAAACTTTTTTGGACTTCTACTCTTAGTTGTAGCCTTTTTTTTTGCTTCTAGCTGCACTATGATTTTCTTTTTAAATTAAGGAATCTAGCAGAAATAAAAAGTAAATGTTTTTATATTTTATTAGGCAGATCAGCAGTTGGTTAAGAAAGGAAAAAGCAAAGTTGGGGACATGTTGGAAAAGGCAGCTGAATTGTTGATGAGCTGTTTCCGCGTCTGTGCCAGTGACACGTGAGTAAAGTTTTGGAGACTGAGATGTTATCAGTCTCCTGTCATAGCACATTGCCCTTTCCCTGTCCCTTGTCTGTTGTTGACATTGATTTTTTTGTTGTTAATCCTCAACTGAGGATATTTTTTCCATGGATTTTTTTTTGAGAGAGAGAGAAGGAGAGAGAAACATTGATATGAGAGAGACACATCGATTGGTTGCCTCCGCATGCGCCCAACTGGGGCCAGGAATCGAACCCTGACCCTTCGGTGTGTTGGTCGACACTCCAACCACTTAGCCACAGTGGCCAGTGCTTGACATTGGTTTTTTTTTTACTTCTACATATGTGTAACCCCACAATCATTTTATTTTTTGCTTCAGTCAATCGTTTTGTAAGGAAATAAGAAAAGAGAAAAATAGTCTTTTATGCTTATTCACATATTTGCCATTTGAGCTCTTTAATCCTTCCTATAGATCTGAGTTTCTATCTGGCACCATTTTCCTTTACTCTGAGAACTTGATTTAGCATTTTGCTCTTAGTGTTGATCTGTTGACAGTGAATTCTCTAAGCTTTCATTTTTCTGGAACTCTTTATTCTGTTTTCATTTTTGAAGAATTCTTTTGCTAGGTAGAGCATTCTAGATTGGACTTTTTTCTTTTAGCACTTTAAAATGTCATTCCATCAGCTTTTCTATGTTTCTGATGAAAAAATTCAGTTGTCATTCTTGTTGTTTCTTTATATGTAATGACTCTTTCCTCTGCCTGATTTTTTCTCTTTGCTTTTGGCTTTCACTAATTTGACCCTGATGTACCCATATAGGTTGTTGTTGTTTTTCATGCATACTTGATGATGTGTTTTTATTGATTTTTAGAGGGAGAGAGACACCAGTGTGAGAGAGAAACGTCGATCGGTTGCCTCCCGTAAGAACATTGACCACAGATTGAACCCACAACCTTTTGGTGTATGGGATGACTCTCCAACCAACCCACCAGGGCTACCCATGTGTTTTTGTATTTTTCTTATTTATGGATCATTGGGCTTCTTGGATCTATAAATTGATGTTTCTTACTAGGTTTGTCTAAATTTAATTTTTTATATTCCTCAACTACTTTTTGGCCCATTCTTTCTCTTCTCTTTCTGGCACTCCAATTACATGTGCATTAGACTACATGATAGTGTTCCACAGAGCACTGATGCTTTGTTTGTTTATTTTTCAATTCCCCCGCCCCCGTCTCTTTCATTTTGGGTAATTTATGTTGACCTGATCTCAAGTTGGCTGTTCTTATTGGTCACTATTTTTTGATTCTAGACTTTTCATCTGATTCTAGTTTAGTGTTTCCATCCTTCTCCTGAAACTCTGTCTTTTCACCCATTATAAAATCATGTTTATTTGAGGGTTTTAGGATATTTTAAAGCAAAGAAAGGAAAAGTAGAGCTTTCCATGTGTGAATAAACAAAATCTTTTGTGCCCAGAAAAGTGTTTTAGCTTCTCATTTCTCACCTCTCTGTCCCCACTACCCCCACCTGAAAACATTCCACTCAAGCTGGACTTAAAAAGTTTCTCCGAATGCTTCCAGAGGCCTTCCACACATGCCACTGAGGCCTTCCACACATGCCATTCCTTTGCCTGGCATGTCTCCCCCCAACTTTTCATCTGGTTGTCTCTGCTCATTTCTTAGCTTTCAGCCTCTCTGACACCGAACCTCTGAGTAGATGAGATTCTCCTTTCATAAACATTCATGGCAGACTGTACTGTGTTCACTGCACTTACCAAAAGTAATTATTTTGATGATGCTTGTTTGACTGAAAAGTCTGTGAGGGCAGGTATGATGCTTTCCCATAATGTCTCACACCATGGTAGCACTCAGGAAATACTGATTACGTGGGTACTTGGAAGTCTGTTGATTGATCTTCCTGACCTTGGCAACGGCTTTCTTAGCTGTGAAACCAGAAGCACAAGCACCTGAAAGAGAAATAGATAAATTGGACTTCATAAAAATAAAAACCTTTGTGCTTCAAAGGACACTATAAAAAAATGAAAAACAGTCATAGAATGGGAAAAAATATTTGCAAATATTATAACTGGTAAAGGCCCAGTCTACAGAATACGTAAAGACTGTTAGAACTCAGCAATAAAAAAACAAATAATCCAATTAAAAAATGAACAAAGGGTTTGAATAGATATTTCTGCAAAGAAGATACACAAATGGCCAGTAAGTCCACAAAAAGACTCAACATCATTAATAACCAAGGGAACACAAATCAAAGTCAGAGTGAATGGCCACTTCACCAGGATGGCTAGAGTGAAAAAAGGCAGACAGTGCAAGTGTGGACTAGGATGTTTAGAAATTAGAACCTTCTTACAGAGCTAGCAAGAATGTAAAATGGTGCCGTCATCTTGCAAAGCAGTCTGACAGTTCTTCAGATAGTAAAATACAGAATGACCACGTGACCTAGCTCTTCCACTCCCAGGCATAGACCCAAGAGACAAAAGCAAATCTCAAGTGACAAACCTTCCCCTTAGGGTTTGCTTTGTTACATGTCTCCAGAAGAGGCCATTGTCCCTGGTACCAGATTGGTGAGGACAGCACCATAAGAGTGTTTTATGTAGCTCGGCCAGGCGTGGCTCAGTGGTTGAGCGTCGGCCTAGGATCCAGGAGATCGCGGTTTGATTCCCGGTCAGGGCACATGCCCGGGTTGTGGGCTTGATCCCCAGTCAGAGGCCTGCAGGAGGCAGCTGATCAATGACTCTCTCATCATTGATGTTTCTATCTCTCCCTCTCCCTTCCCTCTCTGAAATCAATAAAAATATATTAAAAAAAGAAAAGAGTATTTTATGTAAGTTACAAAGTACTTGGATTTTGTAATATTTTTTATCGTACCTTTTGAGGTAGTTAGATCAGTATTATTATTTGTATCCATTTTACAGATGAGAAAAATGAAACCTAGAGAGAGAGAAGGTATCTTGTTTGTTTGAGGTCATGGCACTAGTTAGTGACAGGAATCATATTAAGGAGCTGGCAGTTGTCAAAAACAGACTTTGATATTTTAATACTGAATTGTATTTTTACATTATTTTAAGGATTTTTATGTAGGCACACCTTTGTCTTAAGGAACAGTTTCTTTTTTCCTGGCTTCTGAACAACCTTGCTTGTTTATATGTTTTGGGCACTTTTATTTTATGTTCTTTGGCTTGATGCTATAGGATTTAGTGTTTCCAGGTAACTTGCCATTGGCCCTCTCTCTCTCTAGCACCCCTGCCTGTGAGAGTCTGCAGGCTCTGCCAGAGAAGAACCTTTGCAGAGTGCAAACACATGGCAGACTCAATTCTGAATTGTTATTCAACATTTTATCATGAAGATTTTCCAATGTTCAACAAAGTTGAAAGAATTTTACATTGAATACCTATATACCCACCACTTCTATCGCTAATAGTTTACTGTGCTTGCTTTATCATCTGTTCATGTGTCTTTCCTTCTATCCATCTATCAACTTATCTTTTTTCTGATGCATTCAAAGTTAATTGCCTACATCTGTACAATTTCCCCTAAACAGCTCAGCATGTATCAGTAAACTATCCTCTAAATACTTTTCTCTTTTGTATTTTGAGATAAAATTTACATACAATGAACCACACAAATCTTAATTGTATTTACTGAGTTTTGACAAGTATATACCTGTATAACCCAAACCCCTATTGTGATGTAGGACATGACCACTGCCCCAGCAATTCCCCTCATACCGCTTCCCAGGCAGTCCCTCACCACAGTCCTGAGTTTTTTCTACTGTAGATTAGTTCTGCTTATTTGGTGACTTCATATATATGGACCCACCCAGTATGCGCTCTATGTCCTACTCTTTTTGAGATTTATCCATGTTGTGTGTTTTAGTAATTCATATTGTTGTAATGATGAGAGAAAATACATTTTTCATTTTCAAAAATGCTTTATCACAATTAGCTTTTATATAATATTGCTGCAAAGTAAGCAGTTTTCAGCTGCTGCAGCAGAGGGAGTGTATTGCCCAAATATTTAACTGGGGTTAGAATTCCTGGTTTGGATTCTTCAGTTTTACCTATTAGATAAGGCATCTTCTTTCAGAATGTTTTATTTCATGAATATGACTTAAGCTGTGAGATTTTATCTCAGGATACTAATTTGTTTAGGTAGTTTATTTTGTGATTTGTAAATAAAATTCTTATTTCCTATGTAACTTTATGAAAATTATTTTCCCATAGTCGTGCTGGTATAGAAGATTCTAAGAAGTGGGGGATGCTGTTTCTGGTGAATCAGTTATTCAAGATTTACTTTAAGGTATGCTTCTGTGTGAATGCTTTATACATTTTCTTCCTTGTTATCTTCCCAGGTACCATTTCTATTAATTATCAGCTAGCCTCCCTGGCATTGCTTGGGAATGGTCATCACCTAGCTATATTTATAATCCTAAGAGCTAATGTTTGTTGAGTGCCTGCTAAGTGCAAGGTATTATTGTAAGTAGTGTGGTCTTATTTAAATCTCAGCCGTATGAGGTAAGTGCTATTAGCTCCAGGGCAAACTAAGTGCCTGCATATTAAGCAGTGTGCCCAGTATGGTGAACTGGGCTTTAAGAGTTTCACTCCAGAGCATTCTGCCTGCTGTTGTAATAATTAACTATGAAATAGATGGGCTTGTGGATGGGTGAAGAGATCATTCTTTGCTACATAAAGTTGGCCAGGTGAAGAGCACCTATTGTCACACACCAGTGGCTGGCACCTGAGCCCTCTGGGGCGATCTTCCATTCCACGGGGACATCTGTGCTGGGAGCAAGTCTGTCTGAAATGCTTCTTACGGCTTCCTAAAGTAGATATCATTTGTACCTTACAGCTTGTGTTTCAACTTAGTATTAATTAATCAGTTTTGATGATGTAATGGGTTTTGTAATTCCCAGTTTAAGGGTGCATATGCTCAGTAAAGTAGAAGTTTAAGTTTGTCCTGCCTGTTTTTTCAAAATAATATTTTAAGTGGCTTGTTACTTGTTGTAGATCAACAAACTCCATTTGTGTAAACCTCTCATCAGAGCCATCGACAGCTCAAACCTGAAAGATGATTATAGCACAGCACAGAGGGTGACGTACAGGTACTATGTCGGACGGAAGGCTATGTTTGATAGTGACTTTAAGCAAGGTATGCTGTTCATCCCCTTTTCCAGTGTTTTAAAGCCATTGCATTTTGAACAATTCTGTGTTGTAGTTTCAGAGAACACAATTATTGTATTTTATTACTACTAAAGTGGAATATAGATATAAACTAAGTTTAAGTTATATATATATTTTGTTGTTGTTGTTGTTGTTTATTTTGACACTAGCATTGGTTAAGTAAAGGAACATTGCATTTGAAGATTCTTGATCCATACTGGGTCTCTGAAATACATGTAGACTCTGTTATCCTGACATCAGTATTCTTGGCATTTAATATAAGCAGTTGCTTTTTCCCTTTGCCTGTGCTGGTCATGTCAGCACAGGACATGGAGACTGGGCAGCACTTAGCTCAGTGCCGCCTTGCTGCTTAGAAATCCCACGTGGAATGCCCAGGCAAGCATGGAATGTGTCCTTGGACTGGTGTTGTCTTTGGTGTTTGTGGCCATGGATGATGGTGTCGTTACCACATCAGGAGAGTGGCACCTTCATGAAATTACATTATTATGTAGTTTATATCATTAACTTTCTTAAGAACATAATGCCAGTTGTTTTTCTCTTTAAACTTTTTGATTAGCTGGCATGAGGTGGTTCTCTATGATCCTCTTTTATTGTACTCAGATCAGACTTTTTAAACCCACTTCTTCAACAGCTATTTGTATACAAAACAGCATAACCTCAGGCAATATGAGATACATAAAATCACTTTTCTCTCCATGTCTTATAGCCGTGGATTCTCTGATAACAAAAATAACAGCTCCTTCATAGTAATTAATTACTCCGTTTGTTTATTCTATAGGCATATACAGACCAATTTCAAATTTTCTTTCACAAAAGCTTTCACAGATCTAGGGCTTTCCCTGCTTATTCCTCATCACTGCTTTTCCCTTAAATGAGAAGCAGAAGAATAAAAGCTTTTACATTATATCCTATTGAAGTGTATTAAGGCATTGATACGTTTTTTCCTCTGAAGGTTCATTGAATACTGTTTTTTGGTTTTTGGTTTTTTTAAAATATATCTTTATTGATTTCAGAGAGAGGAAAGGAGAGGGAGAGAGAGAGAGAGAGAGAATCATCAATGATGAGAGAGTCATTGATCGGCTGCCTCCTGCTCGCCCCTGACTGGGGATCAAGCCCACAGCCCAGGCCTGTGCCCTGACTGGGAATCGAACCCAGATCGCCTGGATCCTAGGTAGACGCTCAACCACTGAGCCACGCCCGGCCAGGCTCGAGTAGTGTTTTTGAATACCTACCAGCAAGAAATGAGTTATGATTAATGATAGGCATTTGTTGTTTCTGCAGACTTCAGAGCCTCTGTGTAAGGATAAAAGGTGGAATAGGGAGCAGGGAGGGAACTTCAGGGCCTTTGTATTGTGTGGAATGGACAAAGGAGAGGTGCTTTGGTCTGACTTTTTCCGGTGTCTCTGCAGCCGAGGAGTACCTGACCTTTGCCTTTGAGCACTGTCACCGTTCAAGTCAGAAGAACAAAAGGATGATTTTGATATATTTACTTCCAGTAAAAATGCTATTGGTGAGTGATTGTTATTCAGTTCTTATGGATCCTTTTGCTTTGAAGAAGTTTATAGACTTTCAAAAATATAATAGATGGTATGTAGTTGATCACAATCTGAGCTGCATATGAGCACACCCTGAAATAGAGGAAGAATAGCTTTGTGTGTAGCCTTCATGATTGACACTTCCAGATCCTCCTTTAAAGGCTTTGTGTTTCCTTTCCCTTTAAAGTATCTAATTAAAAAATGTAATGTAGGACCAATAAAATAAGTTCATATTATTTCTATTCCCCCTAAAAATCTACATTAATAGAAGTGGATTAGCCAAGAAAGAAAAATGTCATTCCAGCTTATCTGTATATGTCTTATTTGGTCACCAAAAGTTATTTTTGATAGTTAATAAGCAGTGGCAAATGACTAACATGTTAATTGACTAAACCATTCTTAAAGTGATAGAGCTTTCTTTCCTCCCATTTAAAATTTTTTTTAAAGTTATCAAAGCAATACACAAATTTGGTTAAAGCTTATAGTTTAGGATAGCTTGTAATGGAAAAGCAACAATGTTGTACATACTTCTCCCTACTTCTAACTCTACTTCACGGATCAACCAGTGTAGTTTTTTTTTAGCTGATTCTTCTAAAAGTTGTTTCTGTATTTCTAAATCTGAATTTAGAAATTTGTTCAGTTATCACTCCCCTCCTATGATATAAAGGATAAGAGACCTGAGAAGGTCAAGATCAGGGCCCTGTGTAACTGAATGGCACACCATGCTACACCCAGGTTTTCTGATTTCTAACCAGCTTCCCCCCAGCATCCTACGATGTTTTTAATCCTTGTTCCTCTTCTAAGAAACACAAGGTTGCAAGTTTTTAAAACTTAGTTCCTTGATAAAAATTTTATCAAAAACAATTCCGTTTTAAAAAGCGAAAAATAAACAAAACAATTCTGTTAAAATTGGAAGGGCTCTTATTCTGGAAAATTAACTCTTTGTTTCAGGGTCACATGCCAACCATTGAACTTTTGAAAAAGTATCATCTCATGCAGTTTGCTGAAGTAACCAAAGCTGTAAGGTAGAGTATTTTATTCTTTTCCATTTGGGATCTTTTAAAATATAAAATTAATAAAAACTCACACACGTTGTGGGAGAACTAACTGCTGTAGCTGTGGCCTCGTCCGGGATTTTGTCATGTGACCGTGCTCGCTCGCCTTCCCCATCACCCAGCGAAGGCAACCTCCTGCTCCTGAACGAGGCTCTCGCCAAGCACGAGACCTTCTTCATTCGCTGCGGCATCTTCCTGATCCTCGAAAAGCTGAAGATCATCACCTACAGGAATCTTTTCAAGAAAGTGTAAGCAAAATATTTTTTGATAAGTTTAAACTCTTAGAATGATTCATGCAGTAGAGTTGTCAGGTTATGGAAACTGTTACAATAACAAGTGCTGTGTCTTCTGAGATGGGGATGTCAGTCTGTGTGGACGAGGTCCCATCACTTTTCCTTTAATTGTGGGAATAAATTCATGCCTCCTCTGCCCACCGACTGCCTCACGGGCCATGGTGCCCCACAGGGAGTGAGCAGGGGCTCACTTGTGGGAAGAATAACTCAGGTTATGTGTGATAAGAGACCTTTGCAATAGATAGTTTGAGACATCAGCTCTAAGAATCAAATATTTCACACCTCTTAATCTTTGAAGTACTTGCATCTTTTGGTTACTAGTGTGGACCTGTTTCCCTCTTCCAGGTACTTGTTACTCAAAACACACCAGTTATCTCTAGATGCTTTTTTAGTTGCCTTGAAATTCATGCATGTGGACGATGTGGACATCGATGAAGTCCAGTGTATTCTGGCCAACCTGATCTACATGGTGCGTGAGCTCCTTGGTTCAGGGTAGGACTTGGTCTAGATTGTGAAGCTTTGATGCAGTGTCGTTTGAGTTGTTATCAGGCCCTTTGCCTTTGTGGAGGTATTTTCTAATAGAACTAATTTTATCCCAGGAAATACCATGCTTTTCAAAGGGCTTTATTGGGGGGCAGGTGGGCGGATATAGTATATATTTCTCTAGTCTCTATATATGAATTTATTCATTGTCCTCCCAGTCACTTGACTTGCACTGTGATTGGGGAAGAATGCTTATGCCACAGGAATAAGTAATTAATTCTCAACATTAGCAATGCGACTTGGAAACATAAGCTGACCCTCTGTTTTTCTCCTACAGGGTCACATTAAAGGCTACATATCACATCAACATCAGAAGCTAGTTGTTAGCAAGCAAAACCCATTTCCTCCACTGTCTACAGTGTGTTGAATGTATAAACAGTCCGGAGAAGGAGTATGTTCCTCTTGTTTTTATCGTACTGATGAAATTCGTCGTCGCTGTGACGTTATTTTCTACAGCCAGAATCTCCTGCGGCTCTTTTCCCAGGGATGTTGAGGCTGAATTTGCCAGCATACACAGCCACCTTGACATTTCCTCTTCACTCATAACTGATGTCAATGTCGTGGACTTGGAATTCCTTTTTCAAAGGACCCCTCCTTTGGCTCTGGAGTGTTGGTGAAACTTCTGTGAAGGAGGCTCTGTCTCCAAGGCAGCTATAGTTTACTTCTAGTAAGAATTATTCATAAATGCATCTTTATAACTTTTTATATAATTCTTTCTTATAAAAAAGGCATCCTGAATTTATACAAATGGCATATTCTTTATTGTATCTTCTGGGAAACCAAATTTTGCTAAGACTTTAAAATTCACCCCCCCCACACACTGTCTTATCATTAGTCTGCATTAAATTCGCATATTTTTGCCAAGATCCTTTCAGAGAAGTGGGCCAGTGCATCTGCAGATTGGCCAAAAAAAAAAAAAAAAGTGTAATTCTGGGGTGAAAGTATAATGTCAGAAATGAAGGAGATACATAGTGTTTTGAAGATCTATAAGACTTAAAAATGTGAATTGTGTATAAATTTCCTGTATTTCACTCAAAAAGGTGTTTAAATCAACTCACATTTTTAATCCCTTATAAAACATTCTCCCTGCTCTTCAACAGCTCTGTATAACTAGTCCCCAGCAGACCACTGTCACCCTTGCATGTGCACCTGGAGTTAGAGCTACCCTCTCTCCACCAACTGCTGGTCTACAGAGCAGTTGGCCTATTGAAGCTCTTCTATTTCATTTCACTCAAGGAAACTGGGAGACTGGAAATTATATGCACTTAGCTGAGGAGCAGTTTTGCTACTTCCTTAAGAGTTAAGAGATTAACTTAAAAGTAGACATCATTTCTCTCCATTGCCCTCACTTTTCATTTTGGCACAAACTTGGTCTCCCACGTCGAGTTCTAATCTGCAGGGAAGCACAGTTTGGGGCTGGACTCAAGTACTGTCTTTTGACTGGTGTTGAAGCTGCAGTCTTCATGATGACAATAGATAATTGCTGTGATTCAGCACTTAATTTTTAACTCAGCCCGGTTGGTAGATGCTGTTATTATTCCATTTAGAGCCCAGGAGAGAGGCATGAAGGTGTTAAATAACTGGGAGTCAGCCAGCTGGTTCAGAAGCAGAGTGGAGAGACTAAGCACCGCTGGCCCTGAGCCACCAGCTCCCTGGAACCTGTCCCGGGAGGTTTCCCTCCGCAGGAAGTGCCTGTCCGAGCACACAGCCCTGTTTGAAGGCCCCATGCTGCCTGTCCTCTTTCAGCGTTTCTCGTGCTTTCTGATTCCCTAAAACTATATAACATATTCCCTTCAGTATTATTTTCTTCTCTGCTGTCTTCTAGTTGCTTCTTCCAACCCCGAGCAACCCTTTCACTTACATGGGCAATTGGCAAACCTGGCACAACTATGAGGTCACTCTTATCTCCCATTCTCTTAAAGTCTCTGTTTAGATAAAAAGCCCCAAGGAAAGAACTTTTCACAGTACTTGGTAGTGAGCCCATAAGCCAGCGATTTTTAACCTTTTTCATCTCATGGCACACACAAGCTAATTACTAAAATTCTGCAGCACACCAAAGAATATGTTTTTTGCCGATTGACAAAAATAATTGTGATTCATTCACACTGGACGGCTATTGTATTGGCTGTTGACATTTTTTTATTTGACAATCTAAGGGAAAAGAAATCTTTGCCCCTGACCAAATGGTCAGGTATGGCATGTTTTAAAAATCCTTGCGGCGCACCGGTTGAAAATCACTGTCATAAGAAATAACTGGTGTTTTGTAGATTGAGTGGGTGGCTTTGAGGCAGTCACAAATGTTTTGCTGTGAAATTTCAATTTAACTCCATGCTTGCATTAAAATGTGCAATCTTACCACACCTTTTTATTTCTGACTAGCTGGGTTTAGTCACTTCATGATTTGTCTAAACCAGAATGAGTATCTTGAAACCTTGGTGAGAAGAAACTCCTGTCTGCCCTCTGCTGTGGGCACTGAGCACAGAATCCCTGTCAGGAACCAGGTGCCTTTGTGTTTTCTGGCTACCACGCTGCCTTCCGCCCACTGCACCCCTGTAGCTGCTACTCCCCTCTCGCAGTATGTCCTCGTCGTGACGGTCACATTAAGGGCTGTGCCACACTCCTCACTGTCCATGTGCATGACGAACAGCTGCTCCGGTGTGTTGTTTAGCTCGGAGCCATTGAGTGTCCAGCCAGTGAGAAGGCCCAGTGTCCCCTGCATGAGGATGCTCTCTGCAAAGTCTCTCTCAGGCATACAGATGGAGAGCCCCATGTCTGGGCACTGGATGGGCAGCTCCAGCTCCAGCAGCGAAATGTCATTGTCCCCTGTCTCTTCTTCATACCTCATGTGCACATGGATGCTCTTCACCTTGATCGTCAGTGGGTCATTGCTTGTTCTATGAAAATCTGAAATAATGGACAGTCACTGGTTTCTAAAGTCTGAGTTTAAGGTTACAATAATAAGAGACTAACCCCATGACAAGGCAGAGGCTGGGCGTGATAAAACATGCTGTGGCTAATTGCACTCATCTTTCTTCATCTATAGAATGAAGCATTTCAACTGATTCCTCATACTCCTTTTTAAAAAAGGCAAAGTGAGTTATTTTGGTGAAATGGTAAAAAGTACGAAGAAATTACAAGGAATGTATTCAAGCTACTAAAAACTTGGCTGTTCAGTAGTTTTTTGGGCTGACATTTTGTTGACTGAAAAATAGTCCAGGATGAGGAGTGAAATACATTAAGGTTCTTCAGGTCATTATAGAGAGATGATCATCGAACCTTTGTGACCCCCTTGCAGATAGAAGTTACTGCCCATTTTTCACTGATGAGGAACTAGGCACAGACAAGTTAGGGGTAAGCCCCACGTTGCAGCCATGGTCTTGTGGGATGGGGGAGCCTGAACCTAGATCTTCTGACTTAGTCAGTTATCTGTTATACCACAGCCACTCCATTTCAGTATCAAATTAAGTTATATTTCTATCAGCCGGGACTCAGACTGAATATCAGCATTTGCCTGCTTGCTATGCCTACATATCCCACTAGGTGTTTTACATATGCTTTCTCATTTTATAAGTGTCTCAGTGCTGAAGCTAAATTCACTTCTGTGTTGCGTTAAAAACAAAATTCTAGTTTTTAAATTTTCATTCTACATGGGCTATTGTTTATTCCCAGTGTGGTCTTCTGAGAATGCGTGCTAAAATACTTACTTGTTTTCACACTGATATTCCTGTGTAACAGTGAACATTTTGCTGTTGTCAGCACAAAGTTTTCCTGTATTATAACACCACCACAGAAGTCTTTTCCTTTGGAATCTGTTAGTTTTACCTTAAAAAACCGAAACAGACAATAAATAGCTAGTGATCATTTGTAGGATTAGGGGCTGTATAGTCTGGTGGCTAAGAATATAGACTCCAAAGACAACCAGTGAGGGAATGTGTCAGCTGAAGGTACAACAGGCTGTGACAGAGCAAGATGGACACTGCACCCTAACACAGCCGCTGTACAGGGTACAGGGCACTGCACCCTAACACAGCCGCTGTACCGGGTACAGGACACTGCACCCTAACGCAGCCGCTGTACCGGGTACAGGACACTGCACCCTAACGCAGCCGCTGTACCAGGTACAGGACACTGCACCCTAACGCAGCCACTATACAGGGTACAGGGCACTGCACCCTAACACAGCCACTATACAGGGTACAGGGCACTGCACCCTAACGCAGCCACTATACAGGGTACAGGACACTGCACCCTAACGCAGCCACTGTACAGGGTACAGGGCACTGCACCCTAACACAGCCACTATACAGGGTACAGGGCACTGCACCCTAACGCAGCCACTATACAGGGTACAGGACACTGCACCCTAACACAGCCACTGTACAGGGTACAGGGCACTGCACCCTAACACAGCCACTGTACCGGGTACAGGACACTGCACCCTAACGCAGCCGCTGTACCGGGTACAGGACACTGCACCCTAACGCAGCCGCTGTACAGGGTACAGGACACTGCACCCTAACACAGCCACTAAGCAAAACAGGATTCTAGCTAATAAGCCAACAAAGAAGATAAAACAGAATAAAAAAATATGTAAGTAATCCAATATAAGTCAGAAAAAAAATGGAAAAAGAACAAATGGGAAAAATAGGAAACCAACAGCAAAATTATGAATTTAGACCTAACTAGATAAGTATAAAACAGCCTAAATACCCCATTTAAAAGGCAGGGATTTGTCAGATTAGATAAAATTGAAAGCCAACTATATACTGCCTATAAAACATATACTGTAAATATAAATATAATTTAAAAGTAGAAGATTGGGCAAGGGGCTGGGAATTACATGCTAACACTAATTAATAGTGTTAATACCAGACAAGGGAGATTTCAGAGGAAGGAATGATACCAGGGATATAAAACATGAAATATGAGGTTATTTTGAGGGTTAAATAAGACATGTACCCTCCTAGCACAGGTGCTGGCTCAGGAAATGTTAATTATTTTTAGTAGCTTAATAAAATAAAAAATGCTAAGCAAAGTATACAAGTTTTTCAACTTTAGCGTAGCCTCATTTCTGGAAATCTTAAGTGCTTATTAGTAGTAGTTGCCATTTGTTGACTACCTACGTAAGTCAGATACCTTTTCTTTAATCCTCACTACAACCCCTGTATTATCTTTATTTGATGAGTGGATAAGACCAAGTTTGAGGGAAGATGGTGTTTTCAGCATTAGTCTGCTACACTGGTAGTAGAGTGCAGTGGAACACAGCGCCAATTTCTTATCTAGAAATAAACAAGTTGTAAAGATAATTTTCAACTCTATATCCAGGCCAGTTAATTAATTCAGTTAAATAACTTCAGAACTATTTATGGTACCAGAGTAAAAATCTAACGGTATTTAGCTTGCTAAACCAGTGTGTCTCCAAACGTGCTTGATTCGTATGTAGAGAATGCCCACCTCACAGCTGAGCTCCTGGCCTCATTGCTACTAATGCTACTTCTATAGATGAAAGTGGCAACTGAGGTTCCCTTGAGTGGGCTGGGAGGCTGAAAGTGGTGCCCTCGGCAGACCTAGACATCCGCTGTCGCTCGTGGTGTTTTGGTTGCACACAGCCCGCCCTCTATCATCCCCCACCCCCCGTATCCTGAGGCTTGCCTTAGTGCACTGACGCAGACGATGTGAGGATGTGCAGATGAATAAGACCCTATTAACCAATGTCATCCCAATAAATTTAATTTAAAAAAAGAAGGCTTAAGGAGAAAAAGCAGCAGAAGATCAAGTGCACCAGCTGATAGATAACTAGACCATTCTGGTGGTGTCCCTTTCTATCATTTTATCTCCCACCCCCTTTTTTTTTTTTTTTAATCCCCACCCAAGGATATTTTTTCCATTGCTTTTCAGGGAGAGTGGAAGGGAGACAGAAACACCGATTGCTTGCCTCCCACACGCACCCCAACCAGGGCTGGGGATTGAGCCTGCAACCGAGGTACGTGCCCTTGGCTGGAATTGAACCCAGGGCCCTTCAGTCCGCTGAGCACTGAGCCAAACAGGCCAGGCCACTCAGTCTGCTTTCAAATCTGCATTGTTACAGTAGTCACTGAGCTCTACTTAGTTGTCCGTTCAGGGCTCCACATAACAGCCAAGTGATTCTGCTCGCTCAGCCGGCTTAAAGTGTCAGACACACACGAAGCTCATTACTCACAGACCCTCTCAAGAAACTTCTAAAGCTGGGCTGTCCAACATGGTTGCCACATGGTTACTGAGCGTTTGAGAGGTGACTGCCCAAATAAGGATGTTCTCCAAGTGTAAAATACACCCAGATGTCAAAGATTTAGTAAGGAAGATGTAAGTATCTCAGTTTTTTATGTCTGTTACATGTTGAAATAATAGTATTTAGACATACTGGAGTAAATAAAATACATTATCCAAATTCATCTGTTTTACTTTCATTAGTGTGACTAGGATATTTCAGTTACATATGTGGCTCACATTATATTTCTATTGACAGGGCTGTTCTAAAGAGTGTACTTCAGGCCCTGGCTGGTGTTGCTCAGTGGTCAGAGTGTCAGCCCACAGACTGAGGGTTGCTGGTTTGATTCCCTGTCAAGGGCACATACCTGAGTTGCAGGCCCAATCCTGGTCAGGGTGCCTGCGGGAGGCACAATGTTTCTCTCTCTCTACTTCTCCCCCTCCCTCCCTTCCACTCTCTCTAAAAATCAATGGGAAAAAAACATCCTCTGGCGAGGATTAACCAAAAAAAGTGTACTTCAAGCAGAAGAAAGATCTGATCTGCATTAGAGTCAAGGAAACTGGAAAACATAAAACCTACATTGGTGGTATAAGCTATAATAATAAAAATAATACCTATTTTGTAGAGTTACTAAAAAAAACAAGAAAATAAAATACTGGTTAAAATAGCAGATGGGCCTAGGGTGAGGTACTTGAAATAATTTAGGAGGGGTGTGTGTAAAAATACTAACTTTATATATTGGCATGTTAAAGATGAATGTTTAAATGTCAGGAGTGGCCATTAAATAGAAACAGAATGTTTAACTTCCAAACCAGTCAAGGTGAGAAACTGAAAAATAACAAAAATGAATGCCAAAGAAGAGAAATGTCCTGCATACAATAATGGAGCTGGAGCTCCAGCTAGGGGGTTGGGGAGTGGAGCCTGTGCCCTTAGCTCTGGCCCTTTGCCTTCCCTGTGGTTGCTCGCTAGGCCCCATGTCCACTTATCCCCCCAAGTGCTACTCCAGGATGCCTGTGTTCTGAGAGAAATGACATTGGGAATAGTTTTCGAAGTCCATAAGAAAGGCCCAGGGTGGCTATGAATAAAACTATGTTTTTATTTGGTGAAAGAATGAACTCAGCCAACATTGTGAATTCGACATTAGAAAGTGCTCTGAAGTATGATTTTGAGATTAGTAAATAGTTCACCTAAATCAGGATGCCTCTTACTTAGTCGTTGTGTTTCTATTTGGTTGGCAAAGATCATGGAAATGACAAGGAGGATGAAATCTATAACTAAAAGTTAAAACCTGTTTATAAAATGTTTCTGTTACCTGCCACGGGAACGTTTGAAGATTCTGCCTTCTCGTCTGTGTTGCCGTGATGCATTCAAAATTCAGGACTCCACACGCACACTTGTCTTCCATTTGTGGTGACAAAGTAAGAAAAGTCAGTGCCTTCCAAGTCAAACATCAGGTTTTATCTGCTCAAATGGTGGGAACTATTTGAACCTGATTTCTTAATGCCCATTATTTTGAAATAACTCATGTGGACACAGAGCAGAGTGAAATGAAGTCGCCTGCTCTCGGGCCTGTGGGTTAGCTAAGATACTGCCATGACCCAGGCGAGCTCCGGCATGGAGGCCAGGAGGACTGGCTGAGCCATGGTGACTCTTCATCTCATAGAGAAGAGGTGACTTTTCAATCATTATTGTAGGAGAATGAGCCCAGTTGTGGATGGGAGCCTACAGGGTAGAAAAGAGAGACCACCTTTTCTCATTTCTCAATGATTGAGAACTCACCGTGTGGGATGCACGATTTGTGGTCTTGGCCCAGTTTATACCCCTTTGCACAGCTGCACATGTAGGAGTCCTGTCCCGGGTGGCAAAAGTGTTGACACCCATCAGTTCTCAATGGGTGACATTCATTTTTAGCTGAAAAAGAAACAAAGAGAAAAAGAGAAGTGCTAACATGGAAATAGTCGTTTTAAAATTTCCTTGTGCCTTGGGGCTCTGGCTTTTCAGTCCAAATGTTCTCATTCTTTTCATATTTTTGGTTCCTCATAGAAGCATCTCCCACACTTCTGCCTTCAGGAATGTGCAGGGAGAAATCAAAGGTTTAGTGGGTGACAGCCCGTGTATTGGTCCTCAGAAAACATAACTTGGTTGTGGAAGTATGTGCATACATATTGCAAAGCATCTGTCCATTTTCTCAACCTTCACTTCCTGCTACAATCAAGGTGGGGTGGGGAGGAAGGGTTCTAGTGTGACCCCCTGTGGGTGGTTGAGCAGCTGGGATGGGGGAAGGGACACGTGTGGGGTGAAGATCAGAACTTTTGGCCCATATTAAGTTTGGGATGTCTGCATAACATTACGTGGGGCTCTCAAGGTGGCAGTTAGAATAGAAAGCTGGACTTTGGAGCAGAGATCTGGGCTGCAAATGATACTTTTCCCTAGAAAACTGACACTGTATTGATGAGAGACATTGGAAGGATTAAGTGAGTTTATTTCTATATCTGATAATTATTGATAGGAAATTGGTTTCTCCCCATTCTCACCTCTGAGCCAGCCTGTGTGGGATTCCCCCTGACAGACTCACCCTCCAGACCCCATCACCCCTGCTTGGAATGGATCAGGTTCCAGGAATTCTCTGGAGTAGATTGTCAACGGTTTAGGTGGGGGAGGGTTTGGGAGGGCAAGGAGGGGACTAAGCCATGGACACTGTAGGGAGGTGTGTTTAGGAGGTAGGAGGGCCATTCACAGAATGATTTCCAGTGGGGAGGTGGGCTGGAGCTGGGTTCCCATGGGCACCCTTTGCTCACTCCTGGGAGCCCCTCTCTGTGCAGTTGGGATGGGTCAGGGCAGGTGGGGGCTCACCAAAGGCGCAGTCCCTGCCCTCGTAGCCCACTGAGCAAGTGCAGGTGTAGCTGCGGATGTGGTTCTCGCAGGACCCGTTGTTGAGGCAGGGCTGGGAGAGGCATGGGGAGCCACCTGCCAAGAGGGAGGGATGTGAGGACCTTGCACAGGTGGCATCACCTGGGTCCTCCTGACGTCCCCTAGCCCTGCAGTCCAGGAGACCAGAAGGCAAGATCAGGCTGCCAGGTGCTCTTCATGTGTCCCTGGGATCCCCCCGCCCACGTGTGGTGTGCCCACAATGTCTAAGTCCCCTTCCTTAGCCACCTTTCTTTGCTGAGCGACCATGGTGACTGGTGGCCGTTGCTGGCGGCCTCAGCTCTTCTCCTAATTCCCCTGGCCCACCCCTTCGGCCCCACACTGTGGCCTGCTGGGAGCTCCTCCCGCGGGGACGCCCTGCATCCCCCCCAAGCCTAGGCTGAGTTGTCACTTTCCTCAAATTACCCAGGCTCTGCCCCTTCAGCAAGAGGCCCCAGGGAGCCTGTGAGGCCACAAGAATGAGAGGAGCTGCTCCGGATAGGGGAGTCTCTGGCCTCTGCCACCCAAACCCCCAAAGGAACATCTCCCTGACCCCTGTGGGACCTTGGGCACTTTCCCGCCCTTGTCCTGTCCTGGCCCTCGGGGAGTGTCAGGAGCCTGAGGGTTGAGACCGGGAATGCCTTACCTCACCTCCAGGGGAAAGAAGGGGGAAGAGTCCTTGCGAGAGTTGAGGAAAACCACTTACCCATATACTTTTCCCAAAAGTCATCCTGTAAAATTAAAATATAGAAGTGTTGCACAGAGATTATTTGTTTTCTTTATGTTTTCTCCTGTAGATTGGCATAAAGATAATAAAATGACGATTTTATCCACTTAATAGGAAAACACTGGTTGAAACAGAGGATGCACAATTCTTTACTTAGTACCCTATTTAATACACATGGACACATCCTATTTCATGTGTATTTACTGTAGCCTGTTTAAGGAAGGAGCAATAATAGTCGGTACAGACACCATGACCACGGCCCCCCAAGGCCACCCCTGTCCTCCAGGGGCCCAGCCTCCGTTCACGTCCTTAGTCTGCAGAGTGCAGGATGTACATACAAAAAGTTAATATTGCTTTTTATAAGCCAATTAAACAACAATTAAAAAAAATCAAAAGTGTGCGTGTGCATGTGCGTGTGCGTGTGGAAGGTTAGTTTGAGTGGGGGTATCTAAAATGAGGAGAATTACTCAGAATTAAAGCCTAGAGAGTAAGTGAGTGATTGTTTCTCTCCAACCACACTTGGACTTGTAACAACCCGAATGGTGTCACAAGTACCAATTAAGAGGACAGTTTTCCAGATGGACGCAGACGGTATTATGCTAAGTGATGAGTCAGACAGAGAAAGACAAATACCATATGGTTTCACTCCCATGTCACACCTAAAGAACAAAATAAATGAACAAACAAAACAGAAACAGACTCACAGATACAGAGAACAGACTGACGGCTGCCACGGGAGGGGCCTGGGGGCCTGGGGGAAAAGGTGAAGGGGTTCAGAAGTACAGATTGGTAACCCCAGCTGGGAGGCTCGTAGGGTGGAGTGTTGTCCCATACATCAAAATGTTGTGGGTTCGATTCTTGTCAGGGCACATACCTAGGTTGCAGGTTCAGTCCCCGCTCAGGGCCCGTTTGTGAGGCCACCAATCGCTGTCTCTCTCTCACATTGATGCTCTGTCCCTCTGCTTCTCCCCCTCTCTCTTCCCCTCTCTCTAAAATCAATAAGAACATATCCTCTGGTGAGAATTAAAAAAAATAAAATAAAAGAAGTACAGCCCGGCCGGGCGTGGCTCAGAGGTTGAGTGTTGACCTAGGATCCAGGTGATCGGGGTTCGATTCCCAGTCAGGGCACATGCCTGGGATGGGGGCTCGATCAATGACTCTCTCATCATTGATGTTTCCATCTCTCTCTCTCCCTCTCCTTTCCTCTCTCTGAAATCAATAAAGATATATTTAAAAAAAAGAAAAAAGAAAAATAAAAGAAGCACACATTGGTAGTTACAGAGTAGTCATGCGGATGTAAAGTACAGCCTAGGGAATATAGTCAATACGTAGGGTGTTAGGTGGGCACTAGATTTATCGGGGGACCACTTCGTAAATTATATAAATGTCTAACCACTATGCTGCGCATCTGAAACGAATATAAAATAATATTGAATGTCAACTGTAATTGAAAAATACCC